AGTGTAGAGCTGTACCGAATAATTCATAGCTTCGAAGCTTCATTCATAAAGTTGACAATGAAATTCTAAATATAACATCCAAATGCTAACCTACTTTTTTCCTCCTTTCTTTTTCCATGTCTATTCATTCTGTTTGAACCTACATTAATATTATTAGTATTATACTATTTGTAGGATTAGATTGCAGAGATAGCTGTGTAAAACTGTTTCCGACTCGTGATCGAAACATTTCCAATAACTCTGGAGCATTGTTAAGTCCAAAAGTCAGAATTTAATGAAAAACATGGATGTCATCATCTAAAAAATTGAAAATGTTTTTTTTTATTGAACAAAATATTCTGCTCCTATCCATATTTGTTGGCTTTTAGCCTTTCAAAAACAACATTTTCATTGCGGTCAAAAAGCTTTTTTGACCACAAAGGGAAGCACTCTCTTGTATGCAGTCTAGCAGCAAACTAATGGCACTCATTTATTCTTCCAAGAAAGTTGATTTGATAAAGAAAGATTAGCTCATTTAATCCGATAAATCAATATATTCCATTTTTTTGGGTGATGACCAAGCACCAATCTACAGGGCTGAAAAATCAAGCTAACACACAAGTGCGAGAAACCGCAGTTCTTCGAATGGCCACTTGAGGCTGGCTGAGGCCAGTCAAGCCCCATTGACCCCCATGTTCAAATGCCCAACTTCACTGCAACATGTTTACAGCCTGGTACAAAATAACTGTTTTGGTCTCTATAGCTAATTTTCCCAGTCGTGAAAATGGAATGGGCGGGGGGATGAATTTTTAAATAACTCATCCAATTACATTTTATTAGGGCTTAAAGTTATGCATAATTAAGGGCCGGCTGCTGTGAGAGACAGGTTGTCTGCTGATAGCGTCCTCAGCTTCTCAGTCAGATCCACCCCTCGCTCCCCCACAGCAATAGTCTCTTGTCCAAATATGGTCACTTCTGGCTCCAAAAAACCAAGACGGCGATGGTCGCAATGTTGAACTCAAGGCCTCAGAACAGGAGTCCAAAAACCAATGGGTTATGTCACAGCAGCTATGACCATTATTTTTACAGTCTATGGGGATGATGTAATAAAATTTATTCAACAGTTAGTTCCGGGCCTGCAATTTGATTGGTCTATATGTATAACATCACTCCCTCTCGTGTGATATTGCTGAAATGATGACAGAAATTCAAAGCTTTATTTGAAAATCTCATCAGAAGCTTTCGAATGTAAAAAAAAAAAAAAAAAAAGACATTCAGTACAGCCCTTCTTCAGTGCAAGCTGTTTAACTACTAGGACGTTTGCTTTTAATTTGAACTGATTGTTGTTCAAATTTCAAAATAAAGTGTGAAGAACTGAGCAAACTTATAGGATTAAAACCATACTATACTATACATACTATAATGAAATTGTTTGTCTTTTATCACAATAAACAAATTTAGGTTAAAAAAATAATAATACTGTTGTTTATTCTTATTTACATATACTGTGTTATTGGAGATTGTTCATCTTTGCATCCAACACCAGCAGTACAAATCAATGCTTGCATCAAGTCTATCGTTATTAACACAGCAGGCCAATCATACGTAACCATTACTATTCTGATCACTATTGTTCACCCTAATGCCACTTTGCATTGAAACTGTGTACAAGCTTTGGTAAGGTGGGATAAATAGGACAGATCACGTGACCTGACTGACTAGAATGTTGCACTGAATGTGGCACTGGATCAATCTATAGGCTTGTGACCAGGCCACTGTGTCCTGTCTGTGTGTGTGTGTGTGCATGTGTTTGAGTGTGTTCGTGTGGTAACTTAGTGTTAGCTACACGACTGCTCTCTGTCAGGGATGCCATGGTAATCCTCTGCTTGGCTCGTCATCTCCCCCTCTATCTATCTCTCTCTCTCACCCACTCACCATCACCTCCTGTGTCTCTCTTTTCTTTCTCACACTCTGCCTTATTGTCCTTGATGTTGCTCTGCCTGTCAAAAACACAGTCTGTTTTTCTCTAAAAGGCTGTCTTTCTCTCTGTTCAGATTATAATTGCTAATTAGTAAAATACGCATGGAGTGTTTTAATTGTCTCAGTAATTTCTGTCTGATCTAGCTGGTAATGTCCTCATGCTTCATGAACATATAATCGGTAAAAAACTGTTTTTCTCCATCAGATTTATTTTGACCCAGTGCAGCCGTGGGGACAAAATTGGATATTGCAGATTCAATATGGGTGCGTAAATCAGCTTAAGCCTACTGTCTTTTCATTTTCAAAAAATGCTTTATCAGATCAGATTTGCTCACACTCCTGAGCCAACACAAAAAAACAGTGTGGTGCCTTTGCTGGAGTCATGTAACAATGCTGTCCGCTAGCAAAATATATTAAAGGGACAATTCACTCCCAAGTCAAAAATACATATTTTTCCTCTTACCTGTAGTGCTATTTATCAGTCTAGACTGTTTTGATGTGAGCTGCTGTGTGTTGGAGATATCGGCTGTAGAGGTGTCTGTCTTCTCTCAAACATATTGCAACAAGATGTCACTCTGTTTGTAGTGCTCGAAGCACCAAAAAATACATTTGAAAAACTCAACAGCAGTGTCTCCTTCCAGAAATCATGACCTGGTTACTCAAGATACTCCACAGACCTTGTTGTGAGCAGTTTCATGTTGGAACTAGAGCAGAAATCAAATATTACAATATTTTTAAACAATTACCTCGAAATTATTTCTTTGTACTAAACTAAACCAGCCAACTGTATCAACATGTAGAAGGAAGCATTCATCTACTCATGGGCAAGAGGCTCATAATCATGACAGCGCGAGATGTAAACATTAATGGCGTCCTCCTTGGCTGAACTGTAACGTTAGCTAGCTCAGTGGTGCTAGGTGAGCTAGCAGTAGATGCACGCTTCCTTCTGTGCTGTGATACAGTTGGCAGATGCAGTTTGGTAGAAAGAAAATAGTTCCTACTAGGGCTTTGCAATATATTGATATTGTGATATGAGACTAAATACTGTCTTAAATTTTGGATATCATAGTGTCACAACTTTTCCTGTTTTTCAAGGCTGCATTACAGTAAAGTGATGTAATTTTCTGAACTTACCAAACTGTTTTAGCTGTTCTAATGTTTGGCTTTACCTACTTAGTCATTATATTTATATTACTGATTATTATTCATCAAAAATCCCATTGCTTAAATATTTTGTAAAAGCATTAATAGTCAACCCTACAATATCTTTGCAATATCGATATCAAGGTATTTGGTCCAAAATATCGGGATGTTTAATTTTCTCTATATCGCCCTGCACTAGTTCCTACATGAAACTGCTCACAACAAGGTCTGTGGATTATCTTGAGTAATCGGGTCATGATTTCTGGAAAGAGACACTGTTGTTGACTTTCTCAAATGTTGTTTTTTTTGTGTGCTTTGAGCATTACAAGCCAAGTGATGTCTAGTTCCATTATATCAGAGAGAAGGCAGACATTGCTACAGCCAATGTCTCCAACACTTGGCGACTCACACCCAAACAGTCTAGATTGATAAACAGCACGACAGGTAAGAGGAAACGTGTACTTTGATTTTGGGGTGAACAGTCCATGCAATGATAACATTACCATTGAAGGTGAAACAGGCTACCTTTGCAAGCTAAGCAGATCTCTTGACACACCAAGTAGACAGAGCTTGATCTCAAGGATTAGTCCAGGCTCTTGTTTTGGATTTAGGTCCAAACCAAACACATGACTGACTTTTCTCACACAAAGCCAGCAGTCAAATCAAATGGCTTACCATAACACTGCTCTCTATTGTGGGGCCAAGAGTCAGAGGGATGCATTTCTTCTCTCCTCCACAAGTCTGTCTCCCACCACATGTTGAGTTCACACATCTAACAATGTTTCCTATTACTTCTCTGCATAATAAACCCAGTTGGATGCAGTATGTAACGACTTGCTCTGGTATTAGACGTTTAAAATGTTCATTATATTCCTCCCACTGCAATGTCATCGCATGACAAAGAGTTCCTTACAGTAATGTTTGCTGTACATTTGCGACAACGTTCCTATTTGCTTTGTGTTCACAAAATGTATCCCATTCAGAGCTTCCCTTTCACATGACTATTTCCATTTCAGGCCTCATTACATGACACAATAGACAAGCCAAGCGTGAGCTGTGACATGTACTGTAGCCTCGGCTGTACCCGGCCATGTTAAACCTAGCCTAATTAGCAACATAATTTTTATTATACACCTTATTATAACTTCTCATTTTAAAACTTGTGATACGTGTTGGCTATTTTCTTATTGACAAAATGAAATTCTTCAAAAAGCAATTTTGAGTAGGTAACAATGCAGAGTGAACACAATGTTTTTTCTCAAGAGCTGAGAGAAATCTCTTGCCTGATTTAAAGCACTACACCTAAAACAGATTAATGCAATCCCTTAAAGTAAAATTTCCCTCAAGTGTTATGAATGAATAAATATAATTGAGACTACTGCAAAAAATGCTGCTTCTAATAGGATACCCTATCACAAGACAGAGACGCGCTGACAGCCCATGATTCTATTATTCATAACAGTCCCAGAAAAGGCAAAGTCTCCACTTTCACTGTGTGCTGTCACTTAACTACAAGCAATGCTCCTCCTTTTCACCCCGGTCTCCACTGAACTGCAGTCACGCAGTATGAATAGCAAGCAGACAACGTGCTGTGAGAGCTCCAGATTTCAGGTGGAAGAGCTCCTGGGACACATCTGATACATGCAATTCCCTTCAAAAGAGCAACACTGGGCTTAAAGCTCTCTAAAACAGACTAATTAGAAATATTATTTGTTGATGTAAAGTATTTTCATTTACCTCTTAGGTTTGTAAACACATTCTGGATTCTTTAAGTGCATTGAGTATTTTGGGTTTATTTTGTCTTTCAGCTAATTGTGCCTGGGGATGTGGAATTTATATTTATACATTTTGAATATTTTGCTAGTGGTGTAAAACGAAAAGAGAACACTTTGTCTTACCTGAAGTTCACACCAAGCCACCTCCACCCATGTCTCTGTGTCCAGGCCTTTATACACAGTCTTGAAGGCTCCTCTGCCCAGTTCAATGTCAAACTTAAGGAACCTGCCTCCAGGAGACGTAGCCACAGCCTTCATCTCTGCCTCCTCCTCCTGCTCACGGTCCCTCTCCTTCACCCTCTGGGTGGGTGCAGAGGAAGGTGCATCCTTTCCTGGCTCCTGGCTGGGGCTGGGGCAGGATGGGTCATGGCCCATGGCAGCACAGGATGAAGCACCCCCTTGCTGCTGGGCACTGCTGGTGAAGACTGTGTCTGAGGAGCGCAGCTCCAGGTGGGGGGCACTGTGGGGCGCCTCTGGGGGCACCTCCACCTCATCGTCCTCCTCGCAAATCTCCACACTCTTCCTGAAGAAGCGCTTCTCCCTCCTCAGTCGCTTCTGGCCAGTGTCGACTGGTAAAGAGGGTGTGGAGAATGAAATTGGTCTGTCTGGATTCTCCTCACCCTCCTTGCTGGCTTCCCCTCCTCCTCCTCCTCCTCCTCCTCCTCCCTGGACTGCTCCATCCTTTCCTCCTGTCGCTTTCCTCTCCTGAGTCTGGGAGGAGAGGACGTCTGAGGGGGTGCTGTGTGTTCTCTCCCTCTGTGGATGGGCCCTGCCTTCCTGCTCCGTGTCCTCCTCCTTCTGTCCATCAGGTTTCTCCGAGGAATCCTCGGTGCCTGTGGGCTCTCCCGGGTCAGTAGCCATGGGGAATGGCCTTTCCCACTCCTCCTTGACCTCCTCCTCCTCCTCCTCCAAACCTTTGCTCCTCCGTCAGTCCCCGTCTCTCTCTCTTTCTGTGGTCACCCACTCACTCCTTCTAGTCTGTCAAGCTGATCTTCCAGGGCTGCAGGTGACTGAAGGCCGTCCTTGGTCAAACTAGTGACCTCGCACTCTTCCTCCACTCTCTGCCTCCCTTTCTCCTGTTTTTAGAAGCTTTACAGAAGCACAGGAGGTTGAGACCACAGCTGTTGAAGAAAATATTTTGTCCTTGCTTTCCTTCTCAGCATGTCCTACATTTTCTTTATATCCACTTAGGTGCAGCACTAATCAAAGTAAACCACACGTCTTGCAGCTCTTGGAAACACACACTAAAATAGGAGTTTTTTCAAGCTGCAGTGTTTTTCTTTCAGTCTGTTGTGTGAATATCTTCAAGTAAACCCTGCAAGACAAAAACAAAACATTGCATTAATATTCAGTCAGGGAAGGGAATTTCGTAATGTTGTTGCCATATTTAACTCTCTTAAGAAGAAAGCAGGTGGTATACTATTTGTATTTGATGAGACATTTAAAGAGGAAAGTCAGAGAGTTCCCTTTACTTTAGAGGGACAAAACAGACCAACATCAAAGACGCAACATCACAACATCTGGCCTATAACTCTGTGTAAACGTATGTGTAAACTGGATAGGAATGGAAATAAAATGCTGAAACATTGCACTAGGAAGAGGAGCTGTGACTGTTTCAACAGCTCTTTCTTGTAAAGCCAACCACTGCTAATAATTGCAAAGAGACACAGTATTTCCCCTTGAGAGCGTGAAGTGTTGATTGCCTGTAAAACCTCTGCTAATGCATTTTTAGCAATTAGGCTCACAAGGTAGCAAAATGCTGCGAACATAAAAGAAAACCTAACGTGAGTAGATTTTTAAGATCTCCATAATTGGTGCAAATGTTTCCAGTAATCAGAGACAGGGTAAAGTACAAATGTCTGTAAATGGTCTTTTTCCACAGCTGCTTGCCAAAGTGACCTGAGGTTATTAATTGGGCAATGTTAAATCAAACTTAGTAGGGAATTCTGGCAGCCCAGCTTGTATCCATATATGGTAAGAGTCTCCCAAAACCCATATAGGAGAGCAACGTTTCATCTGCTCAGTCTGCTCAGAGAAGCTTCATCTTTGTTATGGGCTAAACTTTGACAATTAAACCAAAGAGTCATCAAAGAATATCCAGCTAGCCTGCTCAAGAATTACACATAGCATCATCCATCATCAAGTGCACGTTTATCAGCGTCTTGCGACTTAAGTTGTGTTCAACAGCTCCATTAGTCAACAGAAAGCTGCAGTTAGGAGTATGCGATCCCAAACATTAAATATGGATGATGAACTATGGGCCGGTTCAGTGTGAATAATTCATACGCAGTTCGAACTGTACTGGAGTGACTACCACACATCTGCAACAAAGAGCTCATAAATATACACAACTATGATTGTGATTATCGTCAGCACAGGCATCAGCGGACAGTATTACTCAGTGCATACCCAGTCAACCATTCAGGTGGGGCGATAATAGACAGTTTTAAATTGGCCCTCAGTGTTATCCTCTGCCAGCAGAAGGTGAAACTGAACACAGCAGGTTTCCTCTGACACGGCAATATCCCTGCTATGCTGTAACTCATTCACTGTTTGGGTTGGTGTGTATGTGTGGGTGAGCGTGTGTACGCTAGTGGGCAGCTTTCCGATGACATCTTTATCTTCACTTCTCCTCTATCACTCTCCATCTGTCCCAAGGTATTATATCTCCTCTGCCCTCTGACAACCAATGATCTCTTGGTGGCTGCTTCAGAGCTGTTTTATTAAGACACCAGGCAACCTAAAGTCACTCTCGAGCCAACATCTAAGAGACAGGACTGGTCTGACGATTACGGATGCAATAAAGCCCAAAGTCACCATTTATGATTAAGCAGCTGTACTTAAAGGAAAAGGTTGTGCTATTGCATACCAACAACAGGAGCTGCACCTTAGGAATGTGGCTGTTCTGGGGTTGTAATGGTGCAGTAAATGTAAAGTAAGAAGTGCAGTCTGGGTCAAGGTATTAACTCACTTTGCATATTAGTTTACAGCTCAACACATATTACTTTACAACTGAACCCGTGGGACTTTAAAGGGTCATTGCCATGGCTTGGGTTACAGCACTCTTAGGTATGAAGCTATCCACGAGGACCACACATGTATAGTCTATCTTGGCTCCTGAAATGTGCTCTCCACTGCCAGACGGGCTCAGTCAAAGTCACAGCAGTAGGCCTAAACTTTTTTTCTTCAATTTTAATGAGCAAAGCCCACCGTGACCACTGGGGGCTCGTCTAGTGGCTCACAGCAGCTTTTATCTCTTTTATAAGGCGGCCATTAACACTCACGTCAAGCCTGTTGTCTCTCCAGGCACAAAGCAAATGAGTCTGACATGCGATGCTAGTGGCTGTCAGTCAAATTAAAAACACAATAGGCTGATATTAGTCCAACTGCTAAGAGGCTCCCGAAGAAGAATTCCAGTTCTGCAGCATTCCCGAGAAGTAGACACATGCTCTATGAGGCAAACTATAATTAAGCAAGTAGCTTCCCGCACACACTCCACACCTAATACCATGCTGCAAAAAATCTGTGCTATGAAAACGTTGACCCATATGATAAAACTGCCTATCACATTATGCTGTATGTGGTTTTGAATTTGCAAAAGTTCAATAAATTGTTATATGGGGGATTTTCTGGAACTTTGATCTAGAAACCAATTATAAATAAGTGTCTGGTTTTGTTTAAACAAGCTGAGTTCATACACAACAAATCAAGCTACTGCATTGTTAGACAGGAAAATCCTGTAATGTTAATATTGCCACTAAAGCCTTATATATTTAAGTGATAGCTGCCTTAACTAAATTCAATGGCAAAATCTTTACCAGTTACAATAGGGCTGTAAGGATTATTTAGTTATTTATTTTATCAATCCATTATTTTTATTTAATCTTTATTAAATCAGGCAGTCTCATTAAGATTAAGATCTTTACGAGAGACCTGAGAACAAGTAACATTCACAAGAACACAATCAGTAAAACAGACACAACCCACCTACGTGATAAAAATAAATAAAATAAAACAAAAATAGTTTGCAGTTGTAAAAAAAACATCAGATAATAAGGCTGGGAAATATTAAGAAAATACCTTGATAACAATATTGCAATGATATGGTGGGTTTGACTATTGGTGGTTTCACAAAATATTCACACAATGATTTTTAAGAAATTATTATCAGTACAGTGGATATAATTACTCAAGCAGGTAATGGCAGATAATAAAACAGTTTAGTAAGTTCAGAAAATGACATCACTTTGCTGTAATGCACCCTTCAACATAGGGAAAGAACTTATGTTACAATATCCAAAATCTAAGACAATATCTGGTCCCAGCCCTATCAGATAAGAGAGCTTTAAAATCCCCAAGGGCAATGCAAGACAATAGTTTGAGAGCAGTTTGCAGTTCATTACATTTAAATGGTGCATAGTACCGGAAACCAGTTCTGTCAACATTAGTGCGTACGTGAGGGATATCTGAGGACAAGAGGTTACTGTAACTCTGAGATTTAAATGAGATGTGAGGTAGTTTGGAAGCTTCAACAGTAGAGCTTTTATAATTTATGAATAATATGAGATGGCTATTTCTTGTTGACTGTAACGACGGTCCATCCAAAAGTGTGATACAGAGAATAATAGTGAGTACAATATTTATCATTTGCTATAAAGCGCTATGATACACAGGGTTTAACTGCTTAAGTGTTAAATGGGCAGCATGACAATACTGAATATCTCTGTAGTCAAGGACAGACATGAAGACTGACTGCACAATACTTTTACAGTTGGAAGAAATCAGACATTCTTTGATTGTATACAAGAGGCCCAGTTTAATTTTTAACGTTTGAGTTGAATATTGAACATGAATTTAAAATGACAGTCTTCTTTCAAGCCATATTTCTATGATGCAGCAAGAGTAACATGGTGGCCATTTGAATTTTTAATGGCAGGATAGTCAGAGTCACTGTATTTAAAAGTAGTGTGTGTGATTAAGGAGCGATAACTGGAACGTATCAAAGGCAGACTGAGGACAAGTCAGGGCCTGGGCTTGGGTGGTGCCTGGGGCTCATAAAGTTGCATCATCAGCAAAAAAAATTCCCCTATTTTCAATATCCAATTCGATACCACTCTACAAAACAAAAACAAAACAATAAATCCAATGTACTTAAATACACTCCCTTATTAATAAAAAAAAAACCAGATCCATCCTTGATGATCCACCTTGAATGCAAAGTACTAGTCTACAGTATGTGGGTTCATGAGATTTTGTGGGTGAGGAAATACATACTAATATATATCCTACAGATTTAATATATATATATATTATATAATATATAATCTACATATTTATTGTCTGTTGTTGCTCAGCACTTCTTGTACACACCCCTCTTCCACTGTGATTAGACAGTGAGCACAGTGTTTTAAAAAATGTTGAATAATTTTCTGCTCTCAGCAACCAGAAAAAAGCTAAACGTTGAGTGCTTAATGCAGAATAAACGCTCAGCACCTCATCATGCTACTGGTGTTTGTAGCATAGTGTAAATATGTGGCGCTCCTATTGCAAAAATTGTCAAAAAATACACTGGCCTCGTGAAAATTCACATTTCTTTCTGACAAATCGAGGTGGAGCTGTCGCTGCAGCTACACTTTTAACCATTTTCTATGTGTTGTCGTTTTTCCTGCTAGATGTTCTTTCTTTGGCATTTAACGGCAGACTAGAACATTTGTAGGTGTATATGCTGCCCCATCATGCTGGAAAGAATTGGGAAGTATCTATTGTACTAGAGAAGAACGAGTACCATCACATTTCCAGAATTTTGGTATTGAATTGGTACCAAAGTATTGATTCTCCTGCCATCCTTACATTGAAGAATTGGTTGGGAAGAACTGTGTTTTTTGTGTATGTGTAAACAGCAGTGGACCAAAGATAGAACCCTGTGGCAACCCACTTCTGATTGACTAAGTATGACTGGCAATATACACGTCAAAAAATAGTGAAAAATGCCCATCACAATTTCCCTGAGTTCAGGGTGATGTATTCAGATACCCTTTTTATCAAACCAACAGCTAATACAAAACTAAAAAAGATATTCAATGTACAATTACAAAACATAAGAGCAGCAAACCTGCACACTTGAGAAAAGCCAGAGAATGTGGGTTATTAAATTACTAAACAACTATTAACTATTACTATTAAATTATTAAACAATTATTTAAATGATCAAAAATGTCTTTTTCTAAACTACTCATTTTAGCAACCAGTGGGGGACTTATTGTATTGTACAGTGAGACTAAAAAGGTAAAGGCTAACAGGATGTGGGGAACATAA